ATATGTCTATAAGGTAAAACTATATCAAGAGGCAATACAAAGATGTCAAATATTCAAAAGAACATACCGAGAGGATCAGCTCTCGGACATGGGCAGTGGCCGCCTGATCATTGAAACGACCTCCCCTACAGGCGCCAACAGGGAGCTCGCGAGGAGATGGTCTCGCCGGCGGAAGCGAAGGAAAGTGACGCGGGTGCATGGAACTTAGAGGAAGAAGTGGAAGACTTGCCACGTTTTGTGACACAAAGTCGGGCCAAGCTCCTAGGTGGTCACCTATCGGGACTAACCATCATCACACTTGAAGATAAGAAGATTTTAAAAGGTTCAGCCAAACCTAGAAAGTCCGACCAAACCATTTTGTTAGTTTCCAACCCGATTTTGTCAGTTTTGCAAAAGTGGTCAAACTCCAAAGGTTCGACCGAACCAGGAGCAGGACAGTTTGATCGAACTTACCCTAAGTTCGTCCAAACCTACCCACAAGTTCGACCGAACTTACCCTTAGTTCTGCCGAACCTTTTCCCATTTTCTTGTCAGTTTGTGCGAACTATTTAAGTTGTTTAAAGACGCTTTGTATCTTAATTAATGTTGAACTTTGCATGATTTTGTAATCAAGGAGACTTTCTCTCTCTACCATAATCTTTGTGATTATCTTGATTTCTTTGTGATTGATACCTTTTAATCTTTGTGGTTACACCTTAATCATAGCTTTACTTGGTGTTGGCTTTGATTAAGACCCTTATTTTCATTATCATGGTGATTTTGAGATAGGTTTGCCTTATTTTGTTGGTTTGAACTTGTTACTTAATTTCTCCTCCCTTTTTCTTGGGTTTTGTTGGTGATTTCATATCAGTAGGTATCAGAGCCTAGGTTATTACCCTAGAAATATCCTACCTTTTTTAATTTCTTTTTCCCCCTCTCAAACGATCTCATATTTTCCCAAAAAACTTAGAAATTTCTCTCAAAATACAAGCTTTCTATCTTGAAACATGGGTGATAGATACTATTATGAAGATGATGAAGGTTACAATAAAAACTCTAGATTGGATGCTCTAGAAAGGAAGTTTGATAGACTTCTTCAGGTCTTAGGGAATAGAAGAAGTCCTAGAAGCAGGAGGAGCCCTAGTGAAGAAGATGACTGTCACTATCCTTGCCGGAGAAGGGAATACCGCCAACGACACCATGTGGACAACCGTGATCGAGACATCAAGTTGGAATTTCCGGAATTTGAAGGTAATCTTGTTCATAATGAATTTCTTGATTGGGTTAGGAGTATGGAGAATGTGTTTAAATATAAGGGTTATAATGATGAAAAACATTTCAAATTGGCCATCCTTAAACTCAAAAACATGCTTCTTTGTAGTATGAGAACTTAAAGAATCGTAGGAAGAATGATGGAAAATAAAAATCACTTCTTGGGAGAAATTGAAGAAACATATGAACAAGGCCTTTGTGCCTAAAGATTATTTGCAAGATGCTTATCTTAAATTTAATTCTCTTAAGCAAGGAACTATGTTGGTAGAGAAGTATACTAGAGAGTTTGAGAAACTTTCTATCATAAGTGGAATTGAAGAAGCACCGGAGCATATGATTGCTAGGTATATTAGTGGTCTTGAAAGAAAGCTTGGGCAAAAAATTTATGTGCATGCCCATGGAAGTTTTGATTAAGTGGTGCAAAAAGCTTTGAAGTTTGAGAAGTATGACAAGGTGAGTAGTGCTAGTGGGTATACGAAGCCTACCTTCAAGAGTAATTTTGCTCCAAAGGGTGAGACAATTTGACGGAAGAGCAAAGGGAAACATCTTCCAAACTCGTTGCACCATCAACGATCGAGTTTGCAACCTTAACATTGATAGTGGCTCTTGCACTAATGTGGGTTCAACAACATTGGTAAGCAAGCTCAATCTTGAAACTACCGATCATCCTACTCCCTACAAGCTTCAATGGCTTAACAATCACAATGAGTTGAAGGTAACGAAAAAAACTCTTCTTTGTTTCTCAATTGGCAAGCTATATAAGGATGAGGTTCTTTGTGATGTGTTGCCTATGGATGCTTGTCATGTATTGCTTGGTAGACCTTGGAAATTTGATAGAGATGTAATGCATGATGGAAGAAAGAACACTTATTCATTCATGATGGATAAGAAGAAGATTGTACTCAACCCCTTGTCCCCCACCATCAAACATAAAGAACCCTTGGGTATGGGAAACACAATCAAAGAGAACCTTGTCATTGGGGAAAATGAAATGGGAAAGGAGATAAATCAAGGACACCTTGTCTTTATTTGTCTTCTTAGGGAAACACAATATAGTGAGCGAAAGAACCCAATCCACCCCCTTGCCAAGGAAGTATTGGTTGAGTACCATGATTTTTTCCTGATGATTTCCCCCCTGGCTGGCCACCTATTTGGGGAATTGAGCATGAAATCGATCTTATTCCCGGATCACAACTCCCTAATAGACCGACTTATAGGTGTACCCTTGATGAAGCAAGAAATCTACAAAGACAAGTTGGTGAGTTGATTGAAAGAGGATTTGTGAGGGAATCCCTTAGCCCTTGTACGGTTCCAGCTCTTTTGGTTCCGAAAAAGGATGGTACATGGACGATGTGTGTGGATAGTACGACCATAAATAACATCACCATCAAGTATCGCTTCCCTATTCCCCGACTTGATGATAAGCTTGATGAGCTTTATGGTTCCAAGGTATTTTTGAAGATTGACATGAGGATGAGGTACCATCAAATTTGTATGCGTGAAGGAGATGAGTGGAAGACCTCTTTTAGGACAAAGAAAGGCTTGTATGAGTTGCTAGTTATGCCATTTGGGATCTCTAATGCTCCTAGCACTTTCATGAGTGTAGTGAATATTTCAAGCATTACCCCAAACTTGAACCCCACTGTGATCATACACTAAAGCATGGTGGCGTCCAAAGGGAAAGAAGATAGAGCAAAAGAGTCGCCAACAAGTTTTAGGAACTTGTAAACCGTTCACAGGGTGAAGGTTACACCCCTTAACGATCCAGGAGATCATCAACTCCAATAGGTCTGGAACCATGACTGGTAGTTCGGGGATGAAGGTACAAATCTAACCTAAAAGAGATTAAACCTGCCCTAATAATATGCCTCTACTTTATTTTGATCGTATTTATGTGCGCTTTCTGACTAACATGCAATTAATAGGATTAACCCTAAACCTTTTTATCTATGTTGGTTGAATATTAATGCACAAACAAAACTGTTACTGGCGATCACTTGAATTATAATCAAATTAACCCTAAATAAGATTATTAATTATCTTATTAAGCGTGATTACAAGTACAAATTCCCTTTAAACATGCATAAAAGGTGTGATCAAGCAATAACAAAATATCATCAAGCAACATAATAATCATAATAAAAAAAATGATCATCATAATTATATTAAAGCATAATAATAGCAAGATCCTAGGCATGATACTAACGAGATTAATAACAAACTCTAGCATGTCACTAAACAATAAAGATCAAAGCTTTAACCCTAACATGATACTAACAATCATAAATATAAGGAAGAACATAAAAGGACTCATACTTTTAATCATACTTGATATTAAAGTTACCCTAAACATGATACTAGGAATTTATTGTTGTCACCCTAAACATCAAATTAAGAAAAACATCCTAACATGATACTAGGAATAATAATAACAATATAAGCATGTTTTCTACATCATAATATCAATTAAAAAATTAAAGAACTTACTTGGATGCCTCGTACCTCTTTCTAATAACAAAATACACACGTTAGTAACTTCAAGGAAAATAATAATAAAAAATTTAATTAAATAATTGAAAGAAAGTTTTGGGACCAAACCCTCAGAAATTAAAACCATTCACGTCTAGGGAGAACACAACTTCGGATAATGCTAGGTATATCTAGGTCTTGTGAATGCGGAATTTTGTAAAAAAGAGGGTAAGTTTAGAAAAGAGAGAGAGAAAGAATAAGTTTTAGCTTAGAAAGAAAAGAATTAGAGAGAATAAGAATTGATGATTGTTGATGAGAGAGAGAATTAGAGAATTTCTTGATGAGAGCTGATGATTGAAAAAGGGGAGATATGACCTCTATTTATAGAGAAAAAAGAGATTTGAAGAATAAGAAAAGAATATGAATTCGAATCGAAATAGAACTCGATGGACAACAGTTTTTGCGGAGTTTGTTTTTATCATATCTTTTGATCCAAAAGTCCAAATAAGACATAAAATATTTCGTTGGAAATATCTTGAAGTCTACTTTCCAACCCAATTGAACTTAGATTAAAATATTTTGTAGATAAAAAGATATAACCGAAATAGTAGGAAGGTGTCAGTTTTGGATAGAGTTTCATATCTAATTCATATCTCTTTCGTTATACCTCGGATTTAATATTATAATATATCATTGGAAAGATAATTTCAAGATCTATCCAACCATATAAAATTTTTATAAATATTATGAGGCACAAAAATAAAATATGACTGTCTTCAAACATTTTTAAATTCGAATAGAATTAGGATTTAAGAAAAGGAAAGTTTTTAAAAAGGAAAGTTTTTATTTAACACAAATTCTTTATAGAAGCTTCTAATTAATTCCAATTAGTTTAAGAATAGGATTAAACCTTTAGACCCTTCACATGATCATTGGGTTGTAGGCAAGATCCGTTTCAAGCCCAGTTTAGTATTTTGGCCATAACTTCCTCATTATTCATTGGAATTGGGCTTATAATATATCGTTGGAAAGGTCTTTTAAAGCCCCATCCAACTACACCATTATTGGAGCCATATCATGGACCAAACTAAACAGGAAGGCTAGTTTTTCAAAAATAGGGTAAGAAAAGAAATATTTTCAAAAACAGAAAGAAGAGATATTTTAATAAAAACATCCTCATCACTAGATATTTCACACTTTCTCTTTTTTTGATAATCAAATGACATGAAACGTATTCATCACTGGGTTTGGTTTTGGGGAGATACATTTGGGTGTCTACAATGAGGCTCATGAATAAGGTACTTCGCCCCTTCATTGGTAAATTTGTTGTTGTTTATTTTGATGACATACTTGTTTATAGAAAATGTGAACTTGATCATGTTAAACATTTGAGGCAAGTATTTGAAATATTGAGAAGTAGACGGCTTTTTGCCAAGTTTGAAAAGTGTACTTTTATAGTGGATAGCATTGTTTTTCTTGGTTATGTGATTTCGAGTGTAGGGATCTCAATGGACCCTAGTAAAGTGGAGGCCATTCAATCTTGGCCTTCTCCTAATACTCTCACTCAAGTTAGGAGTTTCCATGGTCTATCTTCCTTCTATCGAAGGTTTGTGGAGAATTTTAGCACTAATTTGGCCCCAGTGACCGAATGCATGAAGAAGGGTACTTTTGAGTGGACACCATCGGCTCAAAGGGCTTTTGAGACCCTCAAGAAGAAGTTGTGTGAGGTTCCAATCTTAGATCTTCCGAATTTTGATCAAACCTTTGAAGTTGAATGTGATGCTAGTGGGTTTGGAGTTGGAGCAGTTCTTGTGCAAAGAGAGGGAGGTCGGTTGCCTATTTTAGTGAGAAGCATGGTGGAGCAAGAATGAGATATAGTATCTATGACAAGAATTTCTATGCTATTTTGAGGGCTCTTGATCATTGGTCACATTACTTGAGGCCTAGACCATTTGTACTACACTCCAATCATGAATCTCTCAAGTACATCAATAGTTCTCTTAAACTCAATGCAACGCATGCCAAATTGGTTGAATTCCTCCAATCATCCAATTTTTCTTCTAAGTACAAGGAAGGGAAGAGCAATGTTATTGTTGTTGCTCTTTCTAGGAGGCATTATATGATCACTATTCTTGATGCAAAGTTTTTTGGGTTTGAGTTGCTAAAAAAGTTGTATCGCGATGATGAGGATTTTGGTGGGTTGATGAAGAAGTGTGAGGAAGGGGTCGATGGCTCTTTCATGGTGCAAGAGGGTTTCCTTTTCAAGGGAAACAAGCTTTGTGTTTCAAAATGCTCTCATCGACGGTTGCTTGTTAAGGAAGCTCATCAAGGAGGACTAGCCGGACACTTTGGGGTTACAAAAATATATGACATTCTTCAAGAGCACTTTCATTGGCCCGAGATGTTTGGTGATGTGCAAGATGTGATAGCTCGTTGTGGGGCTTGTCACAAGGGTAAGAGTCAATTCCGTGAAGGACTCTACTCTTCTCTTCCAGTCCCTAGTCACCCTTGGGATGATCTTAGCATGGATTTTGTTGTTGCTCTCCCTCGCACTCAAAGGAAAAATGATTCCGTGTTTGTTGTGGTTGATCTTTTTAGCAAGATGGCTCACATCATTTCTTGCCACAAGATTGATGACGCTTCTCATGTGGCTACCTTGTTCTTTAGAGAAGTGGTGAAGCTTTATGGAATTCCAAAAAGTATTATGTCGGACCGTGATCCTAAGTTCTTGAGTTACTTTTGGAAGACTTTGTGGAAGTTAGTGGGAACCAAGCTCTTGTTTAGTACCTCTAGTCACCCTCAAACCGATGGCCAAACCGATGTGACTAACCGTACCTTGTCCACCGTTCTCCGAGCTATCATTAGAAAAAACATGAAAGATTGGGATCTTAAGCTACCTCAAGTTGAATTTTCTTACAACTGCTCTCACTCATTTCATAGCCACCTGGAAAACACCATTTGATGTAGTGTATGGCTTTAATCCCCGCCTACCACTTGACTTGTTGCCTAGTATCCCTCAAGAGGAGTTAAGCTTTGAGGCAAAAGATAGAGTTGAAATGATGAAAAAGCTTCATGAAGATGTCAAGAAGAGAATTGAGAAGGCGAATGAGAGTTACAAGGCAAGGTATAAGTTAGCCTCTTGCATGAACGCACTAGATCGTAATAATACGATTATTTGATGTCCATGTTAATTTTATAATCAATTAAGAGGGAGAAATTAATTTAATTATGGTTCAATTATTATATTTAATGTGATTAAACTTTTGGAATCGATTAAATGTGATTTAATTATGCTCAAAATAGCCATGAAGATGACCGAATTTTAGCCCTAATATGTTTGAAAATTTCGAACCCCCTAACCCTAATTTCGAATTTTCAAATTTATAGCCGTAAAATATGATTTTTGTGCTTGATTTTGATTTAATTTGATTTGTTTTGTGATTCATAATTTTTATCGGACTGATTTATGCATAAAAATGTTGATGGTGGCAGTCCGAGAGGGAGGGAGAGAGGGAAGGCAGGCGGTTGATGGTGGCTGTGGGCAGTAGCGTGCAAGTGTTACACGGATGCTGCCCGTTGCTGCCTTGTGGCAGTGGCTGCTGTTGTGGCATCCAGCCACCGTGGCTAGCTTCTGCTAGCCAACCACGGTGGCCGGCGGTGGTGGCTTACGGTTTTTCACAAAAAAAAATATCTATTTTAAAAATTTTTCAAGATAATTATGAATTATTTTTGGATAAAATCAGTTTTATTTTGGATAAGATAAAATATTTTTAAAAATATGATCTTTTATTTTAAAGGATAAAATCGGTTTTATTTGGATAAAATCTTTTATTTTAGGATAAAATTAAATATTCAAAAGTGGTTGTATTTGATATTATCTTTATTTAAAGTTGTTAAATTGGTAATTATCCTAATTAAAGTGGTTAATTTGGATAAGATTGATCAAGGTATTATGAGCATATTCCAAAAGGATAATAATAGATTTAAATAATATGATTATCCAATAATTAGATTAGGATATAATTGATGTTAAAATTATTTGATTGGCTAGTAATTAGGATAGAATCTCCTAAATTTGTTAGGATAATCATGGAAGATTAAATATGATTTATCTTTCTAGATTAAAATATGATTTGATTCTATCTCATGACTAAATTAAATATATGATATTTTATAAACGGTCATGAATAATATATGATATTATCTAATTATGATTAAAATATAAGATATTTTAGGAAATGCGTGGACTTTATTATGAACATTCGATGTTGTAGTTTAGAAAAGCATGTTGAGTGATTTATTATATGGCACTTTTTATAATATATGATATTATGTTGCTATATGTAGACTAGTATGGCCCATAGATTCTTAAATACGATCTGCGCATCAGGAAGTATTTTTGTAATCTAATACGGTTTGCGTACCGTTAAATATTTTTGTAACTTTTATTTAAAGTAAATAGAATAGTTATTTAAATAGTGTTAGTTCAAAAAAGTCCATGAAGTGAAGTCCCAAAGGAGCAAGGTGAATGGAGATCCATGATGATTCAAGTCGGAGCAATTTCATTTCTAGTTTTCTTAGGACTAAGGGCCATACTATGTCATGCTTTATTTTATTGCATTAGTAGTGTTTCGGGGTTTTCTGATGTCCTGCGGGAGAGTTACAATTCCGAGACTGGAACCAGACGCCTGTACCTGCAAAATAACGGAGACTCCTGGTGGTGGGAGCTCCGCCTCCAACGGTCAAGTTAGTACTTGATTAAGGAGTAATTAATGCAGAAATTAAAGTGATTGGGTCTCTCTAGGTGAGAGTGTTTAATGTAGGTAATATGCTTTGTTAGCGAGATCAGCCGGTTATTACTGTGTGTAATTAATGTGTTTTTTCGTAATCCCCCTTAATGAGGATTAAGGGAGGTATTTATAACCTTGGGAAACGTGCCCATCCTAGGTTTAGGTTAACCTAGGGCTGATTAGGCTTCCCTCGGAAGTTGGGCCTGGGTGGCCGGTTTCTCCATTAGGCATGGAGTATGCCACATGTCATGACATAATAGGTCCAAGGTGGACGAATAAGCGCGTGCCACGTGGCAAGCCCTGACAGTTCCAACTGGGGGACACTTGGCAGGACCTGATTGGCCCACGTGGCGCATTCCGATTGGTGGGAGCAAAATCCCCTAATCATTTGCCCCTCACAGGTGGCACGTGACTGGTCACGTGTTACCTGTGACAGGTGTCGCACTGTAACAGGCGACGACGTTCTACAGGTGTCAGTCGGCGAAAGGCCGAGAGATTTTCCCGCCCAAATTTTGAATTCTGAAAGTGACCCTTCGCCTTCTCACTTCGCCTATATAAGGGAGGATTGTCTTGAGTCATTTTCACACTTGAGAACTTTGAGAGAGAACATTCGGACCCCTGAACTTGCTCTGACATTTTGGACCTTTTCTGCCTACCGCCTGTTCTGACAAGCCGACTGCACAAGATTTTCAGCACTTCATCAATCGTCACTCGTTCAGGTAACTGTCGGTTCTCTTACTCTTAATTTTCTTTTTATTTTTTGAAATGGCACCACGGAAGCACACGACACGACCTAGGTTAGTGATCAGGCGGTCACCGGGGACGGCTGAATCTAGGACTAGGAGTGCCGCCTGCCCTTTTCCGGACCCATCTTTGCCCTTTATACAAAGTTCGACTGTATCTGTGTCTATGCAGAGCAGGATGGCCAGAACGAAAAAGACTGCTAGGATCTCAAATTCAGACGGCTCCTCCCACAGGGTGCCGCTTAAGAAACATCTGACCAGGCGCCAGATGTGGAAGTGAAAAAAGGTGGCCTGAAAGCCGGCAATTCTGAGGGAGGAGTCATAGTGACCCCTTCCCATTTAACAGTTAACAATTCTGCTCCTTTTCAAAGAGAGGAGGCGGGCCCCTCCGGGAGAGGGGAGGAGTCGTCCTCTTCGGACTCGTCAGAGGACGATTCCGAGTCAAGCTCTTCTGGCCATGCTTCTTTGGACACAGAAGAGAAAAACAACCGCCTGCAAGAGGCGAGACTTTCTCACGCAGTTGAGAAGGGGGATAATTGGGCGGAGCCATCCGCCTCTTACAGAGAGCAAAATACCCCCTACTACTGCACGGTACCTCGGGGCCGGATCACAGCCATGCAAGAGAAAGTGGAGAGCTTTATTGCAAACCACACCATGGGCCCCGACTTTCTAGTGTTTGTGCCGGATCCAGAAGACACAATCGTCTGGCCGGCTGGTTCCAGTTATGATAGCGCCTGCTTTGGCTGCTACGAGGCGGCCATCAAGGCAGGGCTGCGCTTCCTATTACATCCGGCTGTTCAGCGGATCTTGGATGGGTATGAGTTGGGGTTATGGCAGTTAGCCCCAAACTCCTGGGTCAACGTACTCGGCTATGTGGCCGGGTGCGAACTGCACGGGGTGGAGCCTAGCTTCGAGGCTTTCGCCCATATGAACTATCTCAGCGGGACCCCTAAGGCAGGCGGTACCGGCTGGTATCAATTGACAAGCCACAGGGGCTACCTCATGACGAGAGGTAAAGCAAACAAGTGGAAGGACTGGCGGAGCACCTTCCTCATCATTGAGAGTTCAGACACTGAGCTGAACAAGCGCTTCAATAGGTGGAACAGGAATCCGCCCCTTCTTGCAGGCGGCCGTAGCATGCCGCCTGTTCCCCCCAAGGCTAAGAAAGAGATCCTTGATAAAGGACTCTTTAAAGTAGAGTCGAGGGTCGACTCTACTTCAGGGGTACGAGAGCAAGTACCCCTGCACTGCATCCCGAGCTTCAAATGGCTCTACGACGAGTATTTTTTGGCCGCCTGTGGCCTCAGCAGTCGGTGCTCAAGAGGTAGTCGGCCTGTC